CGTTAATTGTCTTTTGGTTTGTCCTACATAGGAAGATGTGCAATGTTGACAAGACATGCGATAAACGACATTTTTTTGTTTGTTGTATGAAACAGGATCTTTATGTGTTTTGACGAATTTTGACAGCTGGTTCAAATTGCGATATGTGGGAATAATAATTTTGTTATTGATCTTTATATGATTGAACTTATTGTTATAATTATGAATGTATAGTAGGACAAAAAAGAATTTTTCAGTATTCGTCTTCTTCCGGTTCAGAAATGTTAATATGCTTATTTAGTTTGTTTATGAACAATGCTCTCAATCTTTTATTAATATTATTAACAATTAACTGTATAAAATAATTGTTGTTTAATAAAATGTTAATAATATGTTGTAAATTTTTTTTGTGAAATTGTGGATCTGATAAGAGTTTGGCTCTGTCTACAATTGAAAATATAGTACCAATTTTTTTACTAATAAAATTTTGTGAATGATAATTCAAATATCGACCAGAATAAGTCGATTTACGATACCATCGCAAATCAGCCTATTGTTGTCATTATGATTAAAATGTCAAGAAAATTGATAGAATTGTAAATATGCATAGAAAAGAGGCAAGTGGACCAAAGAACAATTAAAGATGTTATTTAAAAAAAAGAAATAAATAAAAGAAAATTGTAAAGTACAACTAAAAAAACAGTGCGTTTTTGTAAACAGTGTAAAGTACACCTACAATTAAGTATAATAATATGATTGTTATAACAATTGTTAAACAATTGTAACTTGTATTTAAGTAAAGATCAATCTATTTTTTATATACAATGGTCTAAATCACCTACGGTGATGGAGATAGATATATATTAGCGTTATAATTTTTTATATTTCAATTTTGTTTTAAAGTATGATGTTCTTTGTTTCATTACTTATAATAATCGTAAGTTCACTAACTGTAGCAAATCATACATGAATGTTTCATTTGCTCTATGACTCATTACGTAATGTAATTTTTTAAACTATGTAATCTTTATCTTCTTTAGAACAATAGTATTCTATATTCCAGATTTAATGCACATAAGTGTTATATAATTGTACACATAAATAAATAAACCTACAAATAAATAAATAAATAAATAAATAAATCACTAAACTAATTTGTTCTCTGTACGATTTTACTGCTAAACAGCAGCAATTACATCTTGTAGATTATACAGGGTGAGTCATCTGAATCTATCACCTCCAATAACTCGTTTGTGTAACCAGGAATCAAAAAAAGTTTCATATATAAGTTGTAAGGTTTCAAAGGGGAACCAAAATGGCGTACTTTTCAACTTTTGATTTTGACCGAAAGTGGGTTACTTCAACTGGAAGTGGTTTTTTTAAAATGGAAACCCCCCTTTTTGATACCGGAAAATGAAAAAGCGGAAAATTTTACGTTCAGATATAACCTTGACTGTTTTAAAATTTTTCAGATGGCGAACAAAGATGGCAGACAAAAAATTTAGTCAACCGATTTGCACCAAATTAAGTTTGGTAACAAGGATTTTTGGGGTTGCTGATCACGAATCTGAAGTCAGATTTGCAAAATTCAGAATGGAAGATCCAAGATGGCGGACCAAGATGGCGGACGAAATTTTTAGCCGAAATTAATAGAAATTACTACTCTTAGCACTACTCAGGAACAACGGCGTGGACGTGGTAGTTTTTTGTTTCCTTTGGGGCGCTTTGTTTACGTATGTCTCCTTGTCTCTCACTATCGGGGTGCTTTATTTACGTCAGTCCCTTTGCCTCTCATTATCGGGGTGCTTTATTTAGTTAATTTGTAACTTCAAACAATTAATTTGCTAAGTAGTACACTTAGCAAATTAACTGTTCAAAATTCCGTCCATTTTCTTGAATGCATAGGTCGATACCACCATGAATATGATGTTAATGATAATCGTGTTATAACCCCACCAACTCCCGTGTACAAAATTTGGTGAAAATCGGTTGACTTTCAGACATTCATAGTTATGCGCGACTAGTTCGTATGTAGCTCTTCCTTGCTATGACCATCCCGGGCGATTTTCCTTCACCTTGTCGTGATGTCCGGGCTTAGGAGCGGTGAAGCGAGGGGGCTATACTGGCGGGGAATCCTTTGATTCCCTGGTAGGATCACTCATGCCAGGAAGGCCCTTCGCGGAGCTCCTGTACTAAGAGAGGAAATAGAGGAAGGAAAACCTTGAATAAAAACCGGGAGATCCCAGCCTCGCTTAGCACTTCTTGCCGGTGCAACTGGGATAGGGGAGTAAACCTTGACTTCAAATCCGGGGCGTCCGACCCCGTCAGCCACGGTGCAATCGGACTAGGGAAGTAAACCCTGACTACAAATCCGGGGTGTCCAGCTCCGAGAGGCGCTTTTGAGACGGCCACTGGACTAGGGGAAGGAAAACCCTGACTTCAAACCCGGGCAGGATGGGCTCGTTACCCTTGGCCGGGAACCATTCTAGGAAACGGATACTCCGAAATCAAACCATCCTTAAAAATGATGGAGATGACGACTACAGACGAAGAAGAAGTACCGGACCAGTGCGATCGGACGCACAGGTCCCGGCGGCTCGGGAGTGCTCGCCCTGCTCCCGTACCGTCGTTATCAGACAAAGGGTTGGCCGCGCCGTGCGATGCAGGCGGTGCGGTTTAGAGTGCTACTGCAGATGATGAAGACGTGACGCGCCAGAGAAGTGCATCACCTGCTACTTTACAGGAATCACGTACGGTGACCACAGTGGGAGCCACGATTACTCAATTAATGACGAGTTTTACTTTGTCCTTAGAAGATGAGGCCACTATAGATGACCGAATGGATAAGCTGTTGAATTTGGACGACACGCCTGCTGAAGTGCCTGGCCAAGCACTCAGCCCTGGTCGTCCAACTTCTCGTAAGCAGGCGGTCTTTAAACGCCCTCTGACGTGTGTTGAGCAAGGCCCTTCGACTTCGACGGATGGGACCAAAACAAAGTCGAAAAAGTCTCACCCTAAGACACGAGCGGTCTCTGCGCGCCGTACTAGCAGCAGTATGGGCAGCGAACCAGAGGAATTTTCCGACGTGGAAAACTTCGCTCCACTTACCGGACCTCAAATAGTGGGCCACATCCGACGGGGTATGGACTCGTTGGAGTTTTACACTAAAAAGAGTGGCAACCTCAAAGGAGGTTATGTACGTCCGTTTAAGACCATAACAGGGTTGGTAAAAAGAGCTGCTGAAGCTTACGGTGCGCGTTCCAGAGCGGAGGGTGTTCCAGAAGACGAGAAAGCAAAGAAAATTGCGAGAGAGAGTTCGAGATGGAACATAGCACTGAGATGAGGTCTAAGATTGTGTCGTATAAAAGACAGGTCGCTGAATTAGAACGCGAACTAGAATGGGCCAAAAACGAGCTCAAATCTGCACAACCTCTGCCCCAAAGGAAAAAAACGAAAGAGGGTGCAATACAGACGGTTGGAGTCCCAGTGGTGACGTCTGTCGTGGCATTACCGGCGGGAACTGTGCCGATAACCACGCGACGGCAACAACAACCAGTGCGACAGCAGCGGCAACAGCAACAGCAATATCAGCAACAGCGACAACAACAACTACAACAACGAGATCTTGGCAAGGCCACAATATCTGGTGTTAGTCCTGTTCAGGCCCATGGTGTACCAGGCGTGGAAGGGCGAATAACAGCCTTTGAACAACAAATGGAAAGAATGGAGGGCATGCTGGAGAGGGTAATTGGATTGCTTGATCCAAAGCCCTCAAAAGATGCGGCCTCCAAAACTCAGGACGGATTTGGCCTTGTAAGCCATAGACAACGACAAAGACAGGCTAACACAGCCATGATGGCTGACAGTGAGTATAACGACCAGTCTGCGGATGATTGGGCCACTGTGGTCAAACGTGGTGGGGTCCTTTCTCGGAAGCTGGGTGCTGCTCGAGCGAGGCAGAGTACTCGCAGAAACCTTGCTCTTCGAGAAGAGGATGCAGAAAGACTGCAAGCGATACGACGCAAGAGAGAGAGAGAGAGAGAAAGAGAGAATAGGCGAAGGCCCTCCAGAGATCAAGCGGACACGACGGGCTGATATTCAACCTCAGCCTTTGTCTCAGCTACAGTTATGTGACCAGAGACGACAACTTCGTATACGTCCTGAAGAAGTCTCTGTTACTTTTAGACCGGGACGACGACGTAGACGCCGCAGGCCAGCAGCGGTTGTTATAAGACGCGTTCAGGACGATAGAGCCTCTTACGCAGAAATAATGAGGACCGCCAACGAGAAGGTGAAGTTGCAGGACTTTGGTATCACGGACACCAGAGTCCGCAGAGACGTAGGAGGGGGAATCTTAATTGAAATCCCCGGTGTGGATGGCGTTGAAAAAGCCGAACGCCTGATNAAGGTACTATCCCCTTGTTACAGGGGAAAGCAAATGTCTCCCGACCCGTTCAGCAGGGAGAGCTTCGTATCTCGGGCCTCGATGCCTGTACCGAACCAGAGGAAGTAAAAGAAACATTAGCCTCAGAGGAGTTTGGTCGTGTACGGTTGCGGATATCCGAACGGGACCCTTACAAGATGGACGAGGACGTACTGGCGTCATGTGGGTAAAGTGTCCCTTTACTGCCGAGAAGACAGCAGCAGCAGGAAGGATCCGAGTTGGTTGGACTACGGCACATGTCACACTACTCCCGGGCAGACGGCTCCAGTGTTATAAATGCATGGAGTTCGGACATGTCCGGATGGTATGCCCAAACGAGGAAGACCTTAGTCAGGCGTGTTATAGGTGCGATGGCACCAAACATGTGGCGCGGGATTGTGTGGGGCCAGCCCACTGCATTCCGTGCGCGTCGCGAAGTTTTCCAGCAGGCCATAGAGCAGGTGGAGTTGCTTGTAAAGCTAATGTTAGGAGGCTACGGTTTACGTGGTCGTAGGATCCCTGTTGAGGAGAACAATGCTGTGCGGAGGACAGCAGCAAGCGGCCAGGATGTTGGCTGCACGCCCATGGAAACCTAAAAATGGCGAAAGTTCTCCAGATAAACGTGAACCGGAGTAGTCCGGCACAAGACCTGGCCATTCAGGCCATGCGTGAAAGAGAAGTTGCGTTGATGGCAATTTCTGAGCCATGGCGCATACCGGATTCGCCGCTTTGGGCGGCAGATCTGGATGGAGTGGCGGCGGTCACTTGGCTACCCCGTTGTGGGAGTAGACAAATACGTGAGATTATTGAACGCGGACATGGCTTTGTAGCGGTACGATGGGGCAATGTAGCAGTATTTAGCTGTTATTTTTCCCCCAATACTCTCGTGGTAGACTTTGAGGCCTCTTTGGGGACTCTGGGCGACAGCATCCGGCGCGCGGGGAGTGACCTGGTGATTTCAATGCTGGATCAGCTACTTGAGGCTCCTCCCGTCCTAACCGTAGGGGTCAATTGGTGGAGCAATGGGCTGTTCTGCTTGGACTTCAAATCCTGAACAGGGGCAGGACGGTCACTTGTGTTCGTCCACAGAGCAGTTCCATTGTGGATCTCACATGGGGGTCCAGGATGATGACTCCGCTAGTGGCGGCATGGCGGGTGCTAGGGATGGAGTCCTTATCGGATCATTCTTATGTATCCTTTATAGTTAATGAGAATAGGGCTGGTGTGTTCGCTGTTCGATGCCCTCCATTTAAACGGTGGAATAATAAAACATGGAACATCGACATGTTTGAAGCGGCAGTTATGGGAGCAATTTGGGGTGACCCAATTGCTCCTGAAACTCAGCCAGACGAAGAGGCGGTTTGGCTGAATCGAGCTATCACGGACGCCTGTGACATTTCTATGTCTAGGGTCCGAGGAGTAGCGGCACGTAAGTCGACTTATTGGTGGTCACCCGAGATCGCACGATTACGTTCGGAGTGTTTGGCTCGCAGGAGGCGATACACCCAAGCCAGAACACGTAGAAATGTCGAACCGGAGGCATTAGAGGTTCTACGTGTCTCCTTGCGCAAAATGCAACGAACGCTCAGAAGTGCTATACTAACAGCAAAAAAGGTGGCCTGGAAGGAATTAATTTCCACAGTAGATGATGATCCGTGGGGCACACCTTATCGGGTTGTGATGTCTCGCTTGCGGGCAGCTGGACCACCCGCTACGGAGACAATGAGCGTCCCTGAGGTATTGGACGTTATTACTAGCCTCTTCCCTGTACGCGAAGGTAATTGTGCAGAAACACGGAACGAGGATTTGCTGACACCTGACCTTGAGGTCAATGTATCGGAGCTTAATGGGGCTGTCCGACGAATGACTAGGAAGCGTACTGCTCCAGGCATGGACGGTATCGCTGGTCCTGTATGGAATCGTGTTGCGGCAATAGCACCGAATATCATCCTAAGGTGTTTCATTAATTGCCTGTATCGCGGCATATTTCCGGTAACTTGGAAGCGTGCACGTTTGGTGCTGATTCCCAAACCGAGTCGAGCAAGCTACAGTCCGTTGTGCCTGTTAGACGAAATTGACAAGTTGTTTGAGAGGGTTCTTGCTGGTCGATTAGAAGACCATATTATTCAACGTGGTGGACTCTCACCTTGCCAATTTGGGTTTCGAGCTGGACGGTCTACGTGCGATGCGATTCAGTTGTTTAGGACAACGGTAACCAATTACACGGACGCGGGTGACTTATGCGTGGCGGTGGCATTGGATGTTAGGAATGCATTTAATACACTGTTATAGGATAGTATCCACCGAGCGATGCGAGATTGGGAATTTCCCACATACCTACGGGCGGCAATACAATCATATCTGAGTAACAGATGGATTGTTTTTCCGTGTGTTGATGGAAGATTTCGATCTCGAGAGGTATCATGCGGAGTTCCGCAAGACTCAGTATTAGGCCCACTGCTGTGGAACCTAGGATTCGATCGCGTGCTGCGGGTGGGCCTCCCTTCGGAGTGCTCTCTCGTTTGCTACGCTGATGATACTCTGGTTCTGGCTGGTGGGGATTCGGACCGAGAGGCAGCAAATCGAGCCTCTATGGCTGTGCCTGTGGTTGCGCGACGCATGCGGACTTTAGGCCTGGATTTATCTCCAGACAAAACGGAGGTAGTAGCTTTTTGACCTAGAGACCAACGTGGTAACCCGGTTTCCGTTTTAGTAAACCGTGTTACGGTCCGGTCCCGTCCTTGCATGCAATATTTGGGATTATGGATCGACGAGAGGTGGACGTTCGCCGAACATTTCAATCGCGTAGCGGAAAAAGCCGCCCGAATGGTTAATGCCTTAGCTGGGTTAATGCCCAATTTAAGGGGCCCTCACACCCGAGTTAGGCGACTGTATTCGGCAGTCGTTTACTCGGTGATGATGTACGGCCCACCGATTTGGCACCGGGAGATACAAATGGGTAGGGTATCCGCCCCTCTTGTTGAGATACAACGCCTTGTGACAACAAGGGTCATCAGTGCGTATCGAACGATTTCGTGCGAGGCTGCCCGTGTTCTTGCCCGCATGCTGCCTGTCGATATTATGGCAATGCGCCAGGCCAGGATGTATGAACTTTTGCATCCCGACTTTAGACGGGATGGAAATATTGAAGTTCCTGCAGATCCGTCTGCACTTTTAACGCAAATTGAATTAAAAGTAATTCAAATATGGCGGAAGCGCCTACAGAGACCCTCTCTTTACGGCCGTCGAGTTCGAGAGGCCTTTGGCCCTGTTCTTGAGAGGTGGTTAAGGTGCAGTAAAGCAACTTTGACCTTCCGGGCCACTCAAGTTGTTTCGGGCCATGGTGTATTCAACGCCTACTTACACCGTATAGGTAAGGCACCCACCCCGTTCTGTGTACATTGCGGAGAGGTGGATATAGATACAGCCCAGCATACGCTGGCCGAATGCCCCGCGTGGTTGCGAGAGCGAATCCGACTTATAGGAGGTAGGCCCGGATCTCTCCCTCTCATCTGTAGTTGAGCAGGTGATAGAGAGGAAAGAGAGTTGGCGAGCATTCCTTGCCTTTTGCAAAGCAGTAATGTCCGCCAAAAAGGAAGCAGAGAGGATACGGCAGGGCCAACAACTTCCTGTGTAGCATGGTTTTCTTGGACAATCACGATTTTAATTATTCTTGCATAAGTCCAACCGCATTTTTTATTTATTTATTTATTATTTATTTATTTATTATTGTGCGCCGTGATGATAAATGTCCGGTCCTCCCCTCGTCGCTGTCCTCTGTATAGAGGTGGAGACGGGAAATTGGACTATTGGACATCAGGCAGGCTGCAGAAAGGGAATAACGGGGGTTATTCTCGGCCATTGCACTCAGCCTGCACAGAAGTGGGGGAGTAAGGCTCAAGATGATCCGATCTTCTTCCCCGTCTATGTAGCGTGGAAAGGCGGAGTCCCGCCTTTAAGCACAGAAGGAGAGGGGAGAAGTAAGTGCCTCAGGGCAGTCACTCTCTTCCTCGTAGTGCGCGAGGATCTTCGGGGGGTTTTAGTGGGTAGACTGTCTCTTTGGCAGGAGTCCCACATACCCTGGCTCCTTCCCCCGAAGGGCCAGGTATGCGTAATGCATTTCTCCTCGATACCAAAAAAAAAAAAAGGTTGCTATGACCATGACTATCATCCTGCAATCATAAAGCAGACGTGAATGCTTAAATAGCAACAATATCTCCGCTTATTTGTATCTATTGAGAAATCAATACTTTTAGAACTCAGGTAATTTCTTATCTTTAATATGACAACCTACCCACCAAACGAAATCGTGGACATGATCAAAATATTAGGGGATTGTAGGAATAATTTTTCGAAAGCTGAACGTCTGTATGCTCAACGTTATCCTGATAGAAGGCATCCAACTAGGGTAACCATTAAAACCCTTACGCAGAGAGCAAGTGATGGGTCTATGGTTCGCCGATCACGACATCATGAATATGATATTAATGATAATCGTGTTATAACCATTTTAGCGAAAATTTATCTCGATCGTCATATTAGCACTCGTCAAATCGAAAGAGAAATTGGCATACCTCAGCGAACAGTTGCGAGAATATTAAAGGCGAAAAAATGTCATGCATATCACATAACGTTGACACAACATTTGAATTTTAATGATTACTTACTTCGTGTAAATTCTTGTAAATGGGCTCTGCAAATGATCCAACAAGATGAAAACTTTTTTCGGTACGTACTCTTTTCGGATGAGGCAACTTTCAGTAGCAATGGAACTGTAAATAGACATAATTGTCACTACTGGGCCGATGTAAATCCTTATTGGTTTCGTTTAACTAATTTCCAAACTCGTTGGTCTTTAATGGTCTGGTGTGGCATCGTAAATGGCTATTTAATAAGTCCTTATTTTTTTTGAAGAAAACGTTAACGGACAAAACTTTTTGCAGTTTCCTCGAGACGATTTACCGCAACTATTGGAAGACGTTGATTTATTCACCAGAGAACGGATGTGGCTTCAATTGGATGTGCGCCAGCACATTATTCAAATATTGTAAAAAATTATTTGAATAACCGATACAATGGTAGGTGGATTGGGAGATTGGGCGCAGTCGCGTGGCCTCCTCGTTCGCCAGATTTAACTTCTCCCGAATTTTTCTTGTGGGGAATGCTGAAAAATATTGTCTATAGCGAAAAACCAACAACCAAGGAGAATATGAAGGAACGTATACGGACTGCTTGTGCCGCAATATCTCAAAAAATTCTTTTGAGAACAGTCACATCATTCAGAAGGCGTATCGACCTATGCATTCAAGAAAATGGACGGAATTTTGAACAGTTAATTTGTTAAGTGTACTACTTAGCGAATTAACTGTTTGAAGTTACAAATTAACTAAATAAAGCACCTCGATAATGAGAGGCAAGGGGACTCACGCAAATAACGCACCCCGATAGTGAGAAGCAAGGCGACTCACGTAAATAAAGCACCCCGATAGTGAGAAGCAAGGGGACTCACGTAAATAAAGCACCCCAAAGGGAACAAACCACGTCCACGCCGTTGTTCCTGGGTAGTGCTAAGAGTAGTAATTTTTATTAATTACGGCTAAAAATTTCGTCCGCCATTTTGGTCCGCCATCTTGGATCTGCCATTTTGAATTTTGCACATTTGACTTCAGATTCGTGATCAGTAACCCCAAAAACCCTCGTAAACTTAATTTGGTGCAAATCGGTTGACTAAAATTTTTGTCCGTCATTTTTGTTCGCCATCTTGAAAATTTTGAAACAGCCAAGGTTATAAATATGTCACAATATTAAAATCAATATNAAACAGGCCAAATTCACGAGCAAAACTAAAGATATTCTTTATTAATAATAAATTATCAAAAATTCTCAATAAAATTCACAATAAACGTTTCAACTCTACTTGAGTCTTCTTCAGTATTAAAATTCGATCTTAGACCATAAAAAAGGTTCCATCTTTAGCTTAATTGACCGGGCAATTCTATTGTCACATCCAGATTTCCATCATAAGAATATTGTTTTTGTTATTAACATTTTACT